AAAAAACGAAAATCACGCTTTCACAGATATCTATGGACGCCTGAAGGAGGTTCACGAATTTTTTGGTGACGATTTTGATATCAAGTATAAGAAGAAAATAGATGGACTGTTTTCTGAGTTAGCAAATAAAATGACACAAATAGATCCTAAAAATAGTAATAGTAATGACGGTAATATATCTATACTTAAAGAAAAGTTTGAGAAAGTGAAATCTGATATTGATCTAATTGGTACTGAGGTGGACGGCGAAGTTGCCGACTTGTCAACGTGGAAGACAGAGGCTGATAAGGTTGTGAAGGAAGCGAAAAGAAGTGTGAGGAGATCATTGCCAAACTTTCAGACGACGAGAAAAGCAAAATTGCAGGTCCGGCTGGACAGTTAAGACAGAAGGCCACTCAGCTTTGGCTGCATCTGTCGACGCAAAGCGGGAGTTACCACAGCTGTGCAAGACGCTGTCAGAAAATCGCCGCGTTAGATGGTATGGTGACTCAGGGATTGAGAATTTTAAAGGGAAAATTACGCCTACAATTAGTGGCTGCTTAACCAATTTGAAAGATATAGATTTTGCCGGTGGCCGGGTAATAAAACTTGGCACGTTGTCAACTAAAGGTCATGTGGGAGAGTGGCTTAAAAATAACTTGCAGAGTAGTAGTGGTTTGAACGGTGCATTTAAATCTCTCGGTCAAGATAATGAGTCCATTCTACAAAGCATTTTTAATGTGCTGAAAGTAGAAAATATAGTGAATGGTCAAAGAGATGTCACATTTTTTAAAGCATTGGATGAAGATATACACAATGCTATTAAGGACATTATAAATTTGAAAAATCTGAGCGACCCTATGCAGTCTCTTCGTACCGAGTTAAATGGAGATGGTCTTCATAGGGCAGTGAGTGGTATTACAGTGAAGGTCAAAGATCTTACTGATCAAGTAAATCAGCAAGCAGAGTCTTCTTTGATAGACGGTTATTTTGACGGCATTTGGAATGCGCTAGATGATCTCTGCAGTGGAGTTCAAAACCTAGTCGAAACAACCGGAAACGGCGGTATAAAGAAGGACGGTGTCAATCCACGTCTGAATGAGCTTGAAAAGGGGCTTCAGACAACCAAGCTGCGTGATTCTAAAAATGGGCTTCATGATATTCATGCTCACCTTGGTCAGTTACAAATCAGGATTGCCGAGGTGACCAAAGCTGATGCCAGTACAAAAGTGGCTGATATCATTGCCGAACTTGAAGGCCTGCCCGAACTGCTTAATAGGAAGAGATCAGACGCGGAAGGAACATGGATGATTTGAGAATGCAACTTACACACCGACTCAAAATTGTTGAAACAAACATACAATATGCCGATACATTTATTCAAAGGGCTATTAAAACCGTCCAACAATCTCTTCAATTAGCTCATCACAATATAACTGAATTGCTCTACCACCTCACGAATACCGTCCTCAAGGCCACTGACCAAGCCTTCCAAAAAGTTACCGATGAAATCCACTCCCTCTTCTCCGCCTCCCACGCCGCCGACCTCCAGGCCCTGCGCGCGCTCGTCGACCAGCAACTGCGGGAAGTGCAAAAAATTGTCGACGCGGACGCAGTCACGGGCGTGAAGGGGATGATCAATAAAATGTACGGAAAAGATGGCAAGAATATTAAGCTTATTGTAGATGCTTTAACTAAGCAAACTTCGCCGTCTCCTAAAGGCAGTCCAGCTGCAACGACTTCGCCAACCAAAGACGAAATTAAAAAATTCATATTCAATTTCATGTATTTCGCTGATCCACTGCTACAGTACACTGAAGGCCATGTAAAAGATTATTCACAAGATAAAAATAATCCTCTTCCCACTGAACAGTCCCTCCAAGTGAGAGGCATCCAAAATGCGTCTGACACTCTACTTAAATATCTTGGTAAATTTAGCGATGATAATAAGAATCAACACAAGGACGCTAAAAAGCGTATTTACATTTTTGATGACTTATCCACTACACTTCTTAAACAACTCTCCGCTTCCATCTCCGCCCTCTCCCCCTCCAACTTCCACGGCTTCCACAACCCGCTCCTCCTCGACGCCCTCAAGGCCGGCATGGAAAAATTCACCGAGCAACTCGGACACGCGTATGTAAACGTTTACAGCGGTAAAATCCCTACTGAGAAGTGGGTGAAACAAGAGAGTAAACAAGTTGATGGCAAACCACAACTTGTTGACGTCCTTTCCACCGAGGGCCGCAACTGCGCCAAGGTCTGCCTGACCATACTGGAGATATTGAATACTAATCTCAGAGATCTGTATAATAACTGTAAAGGCAGTGGTAAATGGTCTAAAAGTTGTATACGTTTATATGAGGGTAATAAAAATAAGAGGTCCGATAACCAACTGGGTCACTGGTTCCAGCGTCGTGGCTTCCGGGTATCGGAATATGAGAACACACAAAACGGGGAGTTGAAGAGAGGCATGAAGGGCGACGAAATTCGTACGTTACTTGTCAACGGTAATGGCAAATATGTTTTTAAGAACGATAACAATAAGGATGATGCCGGTCCCCTTAGGACATTATTCAGGTATCTCCTCGACTATTACAAAGTCACTCACCGTGGACACATTGCATCACCTAAATCGCCGTGTAACATCTATCAAATGCTCCAATGGCTCCTCGGCTTGTACTTTAATCCGATGTATCAGAAGCTGGAAGCGCACATTGGCGAATTGTTTACTGGCCTACAAAAGCAGTACAAGTTAGAACATCCACGCTTAGAAGTCACTGTACCAGACGATATGAAGGATAAAATTAAATCACCTCTCAACTCTGAGCAATTGACCAAAGTGCTCAAACAAGTATGTTTATACTCCGCAGACACACTCATCACTTTCCTCGGTCACGGCCACTCAGGTGGCCGCTACGCCGTTGACTTCTACACAAACACAGATAATTTGTTTTACCCTGGTAGCCCTGCTTCATGTTTCGATATGCTTGCAGACATATTGAACAGAGTATTTTATCAAGTCCGTTTCGTATATAAGCAGTGTAACAACCGCCCTGAGAGCGGTGGTTGGAAACACTGCTGGTACGGCCGTGGTGTTGGCGGTTCATCGTGGACGTGTAACACCATGCAATGTCCCAACCAAACAGGCGACCAAACGGCTACCCAAAACAGTAACCAAATGCATAAGCAAACATGTAACCAAATGTGTGATCAACGTGCGGAATGCGGACTAAAGTCGCCGCTCCAGTCGTTCCTGGAAGATGGTCTCCCCGGCTTCCTTCCTCATTCAATTACCTCTCCTGGTTGCAAGTTGACGTGTTCCCTTCCCAATCACTTTGGTAGACCGTGCCTAACTCCCATGGGTTTTAGCGATATTAGCAATGTAGCTTCACGCACGCAGAAAGGCGATTATCTCCAGCAAGTCCTTGAGTTATTGTACGGCCCGAAGTCTAACTTCCGTCAGTTGTGTAGTGTGGTCAACTGCCTCATCCGCCGACCGCCACAAACGCTTGATGATTTGTTAGCGTTCTACTATGGTTACCTTGCCAACTGGAGCGGAGGCTCGAAAGGGCGTGATAATGAGGCTAGGAAACACAAGCACGACGCATTCGTCCGTGCCGTTCGCAATGCGAATCTTGGCAGAGAGTATAGTGATTTAATCCCTACTGCAGTCTTTGGCAGCAGTAGCCACTACGATCAGAAATCAACGCATACCAACGGTGACGTGTTTAGCCTTGTTAGTTGTAACCCACACAATGCTCCGGCCCATCCTTGTGGCCGATACTTGCAACCGCTACATCAAGATGCGCGTTCCATGTTTTCAAGTTTCTTTGCCCGCTTTTACCTATGCTGGATCGTATATACAACAGAAAATTTCTATGATTTACTGAAGAAATTGTACGATGACTGCTGTGCAAAATGCAACAAACCGGGTACCAAGTGCCACGATAATAGCTGTGCCGAGAGATGTGCAGTGAAATCAGCTTATGAAGCTGAAGTGTCCAATCCACAACAAGCATTGTCCACTCAATCCGCAAATAAGGCACATGATTCAAAGTGTCATTCCATTATCGAATGCAAATATACTCATCCGACTCTCTACTCATATGGCTTCACATTTGGAAGTCCGCATGAATTGAGCGGTGTCACGGAGGTGAAAAATAGAAGAACATGCATAGATTTATGTAACGCATTGAAAAAGGTTCTCAGCGATAAAAAATCAGACAATGCACCGCTAGCAAAATTAATATACGTCACCATACCAGATTTCCTCTGGAAAATCAGAGAACCATTTTCCCTAACACTGTTAGCCCTCTGGTCGCTGTCGCTCCTCTACCTGCTGCACATCACCGTCGTCCGCCTCGACGTCCTGAGGATACGCTCCCACCTGAGATCACCTGCAAGCCACCGCATCGCCGCGCAGTCGCTCCTCGCCGCCGCACGCGTCAAGGCACTCGCCAACGTAAAGTACTTCTCACCATAATCGTGCCTTCACGTGTGATCTGTGTATCACTCACCCACTCAACCACTCACTCACCCACTCACCTAATCACTCACCCACTCAACCACTCACCCACATACTCACTCAACCACCCACTCAACCACTCACTCACCAACTCACCTCACTCACCCACTCACCCACCCACTCACTCAACCACCCACTCAACCACTCACTCACCCACCAACTCACTCACTCACCCACTCACTCACTCACCAACTCACCCACTCAACCACCCACTCAACCACTCACTCACCCACTCACTCACTCACCAACTCACCCACTCAACCACCCACTCAACCACTCAACCACTCAACTACTCAACCACCCACTCAACCACTCACTCAACCACCCACCCAACCACTCACCCAACCACTCAACCACCCACTCAACCACTCAACCACCCACTCAACCACTCAACCACTCACTCAACCACTCACCCACTCACCCACCTACTCACCCACTCAACCATTCAACCACTCAACCACCCACCCACTCACCCACCCACTCAACCACTCACCCCCTCAACCACCCACCCACTCACCCACTCACCCACCCACCCACTCACCCACTCACTCACCCACTCAACCACTCAACCACTCAACACCCACCCACTCACCACCCACTCAACCACTCACCCCTCAACCACCCACCCACTCACCCACTCACCCACCCACTCACTCACCCACTCACCCACTCACTCAACCACCTAAACACTCAACCACTCACCCACTCAACCACTCACTCACTCACCCACCCACTCAACCACTCACCCCCTCAACCACCCACCCACTCACCCACTCACCCACCCACTCACTCACCCACTCACCCACTCACTCAACACCTAACACTCAACCACTCACCCACTCAACCACTCACTCACTCACCCACCCACTCACCCACTCAACCACTCAACCACTCAACCACTCAACCACCCACTCAACCACTCAACCACTCAACCACTCAACCACCCACTCAACCACTCAACCACCCACCCACTCACCCACTCACCTAATCACCCACTCAACCACTCACCCACCCACTCAACCACCCACTCAACCACTCAACCACTCAACCACTCAACCACTCAACCACTCAACCACCCACTCAACCACTCAACCACTCAACCACTCAACCACCCACTCAACCACCCACTCACCCACCCACTCAACCACCCACTCAACCACTCAACCACTCAACCACTCAACCACCCACTCAACCACTCAACCACTCAACCACTCAACCACCCACTCAACCACTCAACCACCCACCCACTCACCCACTCACCTAATCACCCACTCAACCACTCACCCACCCACTCAACCACCCACTCAACCACTCAACCACTCAACCACTCAACCACTCAACCACTCAACCACTCACATACTCACTCACTCACCTAATCACCCACTCACCCACCCACTCAACCACTCACTCAACCACTCAACCACCCACCCACTCACCCACTCACCTAATCACCCACTCAACCACTCACCCACCCACTCAACCACCCACTCAACCACTCAACCACTCAACCACTCAACCACTCAACCACTCAACCACTCACATACTCACTCACTCACCTAATCACCCACTCACCCACTCACTCAACCACTCACCCACTCAACCACTCAACCACTCAACCACTCACCCACTCACCTCACTCAACCACCCACTCAACCACCCACTCAACCACCCACTCAACCACTCAACCACCCACTCAACCACCCACTCAACCACCCACTCAACCACTCACTCACCCACCAACTCACTCACTCACCCACTCACTCACTCACCAACTCACCCACTCAACCACCCACTCAACCACTCACTCACCCACTCACTCACTCACCAACTCACCCACTCAACCACCCACTCAACCACTCAACCACTCAACTACTCAACCACCCACTCAACCACTCACTCAACCACCCACCCAACCACTCACCCAACCACTCAACCACCCACTCAACCACTCAACCACCCACTCAACCACTCAACCACTCAACCACTCACCCACTCACCCACCTACTCACCCACTCAACCATTCAACCACTCAACCACCCACCCACTCACCCACCCACTCAACCACTCACCCCCTCAACCACCCACCCACTCACCCACTCACCCACCCACTCACTCACCCACTCACCCACTCACTCAACCACCTAAACACTCAACCACTCACCCACTCAACCACTCACTCACTCACCCACCCACTCACCCACTCAACCACACAACCACTCACTCACTCACCCACTCACCCACTCACATACTCACTCAACCACCCACTCAACCACTCAACCACTCAACCACTCAACCACTCACCCACCTAATCACCCACTCACCCACCCACTCACCCACTCAACCACCCACTCAACCACTCACTCACCCACTCAACCACTCAACCACTCACTCACTCACATACTCACCCACTCAACCACTCACCCACTCACCAACTCAACCACTCACCCACCCACTCACTCACCCACTCACTCACCCACTCAACCACCCACTCACTCACCCACTCAACCACTCACTCACATACTCACTCACCCACTCACTCACATACTCAACTACCCACTCAACCACTCACCTCCCTCCTTCACTGGTCGCTTCGCTCCCTGCCTCCATCACCTCCTCCGTCGGCGTCCCTCACCCAAATCCTCATTTTCCACTTCCTCCCTCCACCCCTAAAATCGCCTTACCTCAACCCATCTTCCTCCTTCATCGCCCTCTTTCGCCCCTTCACCTCCCTCACCCTCTCCACCCACCTCCCTCACTGCCTCACTGCCTCCTTGGCCTAAAATCGCCTTTTTCCAAATTCCCCCAAATCCCCGTAAAAATGTGCCTAAAATAATCCTTCAACAACATTATTAAATAACCTGTGCACAGGCCTCGAAAAATTTCTCGGCCACAGTAATGGTAATTACACCGGAGAAGGAATCGTGTACTCGGACCTTGACAGGCTCTGTGACGGGGTGATGGCGTTTTTGGGTGGAGTTTTGCATAGCATTCAGCCTAAATTAGGCCAGCATAAAGGTGAAATAAATAATGCACTTAGCACACTTAAAAGCACAAATCTTAATGGTATTACTAAATACAAGGCGGCGGTAGCCGTGGTGGCCAGTGGTGTACGTACATATAATGTGAGAGTGGCAGCGTCGAATGAGAGTGTGAAAAGTGTTATTACTACTTTGCAGGGACAGGTTAACGAGAACTTCAAAAAAGCGGTGAGTTTCATATTGAATGATAATGGTGTTTCAGGTGCGCCGACAAATTACAGTGACAAGGACGTCACGGAGGCCGAAAGGCAAATTAATGACAAACTTCAGCAATGCCAACAAAATGCTACGACATTTATCACTAATTTAGACATTAGTAACACTTCACGTAGCCCACATAAAGAATCAATCACTGACCTAAATGCTAAATTAAAAGATACGCTTGAGAACGTGCGTAGGACAGTGGAGTATGAGAGTGCGCGGTTGGAGGGGGTGAAGGTGCAAGAGGAGAAGGTGTTTGAAAATACTAAACGCCAGATTACCGACGTGCTTAGTAATTTAAATGTTCGTGTAGATTGCAGCATAAGTGAACAAGTGAAATTGCTTGTTTCTAAGTTGAAGGGGAAAGTTGACCCTATATTGGCCGATTTAAAGGGTATTGATAGTAAGTTCGCAAAGAACGTTTTCGAATTGGAGCAGTGGATTGCGAACGCTGAAGCCGCCGTCAAGGCGGCGTTAGAGAAGGTTGAGGCTGTAATAAACGAAGTGGATGAAACTAAAAGGAAGGCGAAAAATAAGCAAGAAATTGAGACAGCTGCGGAGTTCATCCGGGGGCTGTCCAGCACGCTGAATGACGATTTTGCGTTGAAAAATGAACAATTTAGAAAAGCTGTTGAAGCGATTAAAAGTGCGACGGAGCAGCTTAATCAGCTTCATACAAGTGTTAAGGGGGAGGTGACAGATAAATTGGGACAAATTCAGCAGCATCTGGACGTGAAGGATACGGAACTCAAGGGTAAAATAAAGGGTGAGATGAAGACATACGTTGAAGATATTGTTTTTAAAAACATCCGTAGAGAAGTGGAGAAGATAAAAAATGGAGTTCAGAAAGATAATGGTAGAAGTGGTGTAAATGGAAATAGTATAGAAAAGAGATGGGAGGAACTTAAGGAGCAGATTATGCAGCTGGTTGGAGAAATAAATGGTCCTGGAATTACTGATGATGCAGAGCCGGTGGACAAATATAGAGGTATTAAAGGTATCAGGGAGAAGGTGAAAGAATTTGCGAATTCGTTTAACAAGAGGAATTTTGAGGCTGTAGTGAAGGGATGGATAAGAATGATTTTGGATAAAGATGAAGTCGTTAAGAAGGCTATAAGTGCTTACGTTTCCGCCAGCGAGCCGAACGCTTTTAATACGGCATATATAAATGAGAGCAATAAAGTAATTGAGGAAGAAGGCATCAAGCAGATCGCACATGAAATTAAGGAAAAGCTTAAAAACGATGTCATTACCAAGGCTGTCGCAGCGTTCGAAACTGTCCAATCCTCCAGTACCGACAACGAAATCACAAAGAGTATTAGAGCCGTCATGAAGGCTTGCGATGAATTTGCCGATAAGCTGAATGCCGAACTTGAGAATGATACATATAGCTCGTCAGGTGTAAACTCATTTGTCTGGGGAATAATCGAGGCAGTTGACAAAAAAGTGGAGAATGGAGGCAACAGCGGCAAAGCTGGCAAGCACATGCTCCGGGGAGTTGTTCTCTCTATTCTCCCAGCACTCCAGTCCTCTGCCAGGAGAACTGCCAAAACGCTTGAGCGTTTCACATCTGACACAAAGGGTCAAAACCTTGGCTTCAACCTCGGCTCTTCTGTAGAGGCGGCCATAAATAGCGTTATTGCAATTGGCAATGAATTCGACGTATCAGATAGAACCGGGAAAGGCTACGGCAAAAGACTAAATGACGCATTGGCCGCCGTGAAAAAACAGATTGATGAACTGCACAATAACCTTGACACGGCGCCACAAAGATCCAGATCCACCGGCCCGAAAAATATTCTTGGTGAAGATATATCAGCAAGCATTGCGACGAATGTAAAGTGGGCTACAGTCGATCCCCAACTCGGCAAACTTCTTAAGGACACCGCAGACGCCGGCATCCAGAAGTTCCACGAAAAGCTCCAACAGGAAGTCGTTGAAAAGATACTTGACCCTGTCGACAAAGAAGTTACTAAACATGAGCAAAGCGCCAACAAGGCATACACTGACATTATCCAGCGCGTCAACGAAATCACCGGTGGGCTTTTTCAAATGTGCAACGCAATCAAGCAGGCCGCATCCTCAGATCCGCAGAGCGCTAAAGCGAAATTGACAGAGCTAAGAGACACGTATTTCAAGCATTACGAGAAAAGTAAAAAAGATGCCAATGAAAGCATAAAGAAGATACACAGTCAGCTTAGTGAGCTCCGAAACGAGCTGGCAAGCAAACCGCTGCAATCCACCGAAAAATTACTCTCCTTCATCGACACAGCGGCTGGCCAAGTCACTAGAGAAATGCAGCGTCAGGTGAATACTCAGGTCAAACAAGCCACCGACCAACTCACCACCCACGCGCGCAGGCAGTACGTCGAGGCCCTGAAGTTCGCGCTCCGGCAGTTCGCCGACAAGGTGACGGAGGAGCTCAGTGAGTTGCCGGGGGAGATTGAGAACGACAAACACATCGGCCTGAAAGGCTTCATGGAGGCCTTTTACGGCGCTAACTCCGGCGACAATATTAACAAGCTTCAAGATGGCATCGATCTCCGGACTGTCTGCCATGGCTTCGAAAAATTCCTCGGGCCCCTCAACACATATATGAACAGCGAAATAGATCGTCTCAAAGAGGAGGAACACAAGAAAAATCCTACGCTTCAGAAACCTCAAGACCCATATAGCAAACAACTTAATAATGTATACTCCAAACTTAGCACAGTAATTGGTCACATTATGAGTAATAATTATTACGACCACAACTTACCCACTAAGCTCGCTGAACTCACTGCCACAGTCGCCGACCTGAAACTAGACGGCTTCCCCAACCCGGTCACAGGAATGCTGGGCGGCATCTCTGGCGGCTGTCGGCAGTTGGTGGATGTGCTTGGCGACGTGTACATCTCCAAGTACGACGGTCTGACGATTAAGTGGGAGAAAGATGAAAAGACAAATCAGAATTGCGCGAAAGCGTTTTTGACTATCTTGCCCACTATCTTCCACGGCCTTCACTGGTTGTTCTACAACGGCGGTAACAAGTGGCAAGATTATAAAGTCGCCGGCAGTGCAAATGGTGACCGAAAAGCAGATGAGCTGAAAACATATCTGACCGATGCAGGTTACGATATTCAGCATCTGAGAAAATCACTTACAGGGATGGGTGTGACCGGGAAGTTGTACAAGGGCTTCCATAGGCTTGGTGAATTTAACAAGCCGCCAAAGGACTTTGATTCTATCGAAGAATGCACACAATATTTCAAAAAACATGAAGGTCTTTTATCAAGACTCTTCGACCACCTCCATGCATATTACAACGTTTGTCACCTACCAACTTCCCACACTAAGCATCCCACTTCAGTATACCAAATGCTCACATGGCTTAACGGCCTGCCGCATAATCCCGTATACGACGCATTATCCTTCGACGGTTTTAATGGCCTATTTGAGAAACCGAAGCAAGCGCAGCCCGAAACTCAGGGAGACGATCCCACGGTTGAAGTCCTCGACGACTTGTCGCTGCCTGCTCACCCAAATCCGATCACTCCTGCGTCGCTGTCTAACGCTCTTACAGAGGTATGCTCCCAAGCCGAAGACGTATTGCTTTCAATTCTCGGCTACGGTCATGATGACGGCATCTACGCCGTTGACTTCAACACTAACGAATGTAAACTAGACTATCCCGGTAACCCCGGTCAATGTTTAGATTTACTTCTAGATATATTGCGTAGAGTGTTCTATCAGTTACGCTTCCTATATCAGCAATGTTCCAATACAACGAAGCTGGGGGGTTGGAAAGATTGCGTATACGGCCAGCAAATTGGCAACTCCGGCTGGCAGTGCAACTCTATCCAATGTCCTAACCAAGAGTGTAAGCTAAAGGCTGACCAAAAGGGTGGGCAAAAGGCCAACCAAAAGTGCAACCAACATCCTCAGTGCGGTGTCAAATCGCCTCTGCAATCCTTTTTGGAGGATGGCCTGCAAGGCTTTTTGCCGCATACATTTAGTAAACCCGGTTGTAAACTGACATGTACTGTGAAAAATCATCACGGCATTCCATGTGTCACTCCGATGGGTTTCACCGAGTGTTCCATTGTTGCGTCGCATACTAGTAAGGGCTCCCGACTTTACCTTGCGCTTAAGGAATTTTGCGGCACTGCATCATCTCCCCTCACTAAGTTATGTACTCAACTGAATTGTCTCTTGCCTACCGCTCCTAAAACACTAGGTGATATGTTCTCGTTCTATTACAATTTCATTAATAACTGGGCAGGCAGCGGTAGAGAGCACAGATTGGACGCATTTAATACAGCTGTCACTAACGCAAATTTCCAGAATGAATATGTCGACCTCGACCCTACTGCAATAATTGGTAAATTTGGACATGTGCATAGCCGAGAAAAAGCCGACCTGTGTAGCCTTGTATGTACCGAAAAATCGGCAACCACGTGCGGTCCATATCTGCAATCCCTTAACAATGATATCACAGTTGCGTTTGCATCTAAGCACGCAGCCAATTACCTATCATGGATCGTATACGCTACAGAAACATTTTATGACCTGCTCAAAAAATTATATGATGACTGCTGTGGTACGTGTGGCGGCGATACGCCGAAGTGCCGAGTTGCTCGTGGACAACATACATGTAATGTTGCCAATCAGCAAAGCTCCGACAATGACAGTGACACATGTAACTCTATAGTTAAATGCCAGCATACACGTCCAACCATATACAAATACGGCTTTGTACATCACGACGTAGTAAGCCTTGCCGGTCAAACAAGGAGAACATGTAAAGATTTCTGCAACGCACTGAACAAGGTTCTTAACAAAGAAGAGAAAATAGGAGCGAGGCTTGCGGAATTAATTTATAGGACAATTCCTGAATTCTTATTCAGAATTCGTGAACCATTCATATGGACTCTCGTAGCCCTCTGGTCCCTCTCTTTGCTCTACCTGCTGCACATCACCGTCGTCCGCCTCGACGTCCTGAGGATACGCTCCCACCTGAGATCACCCTCAAGCCACCGCATCGCCGCACAGTCCCTCCTCGCCGCCGCACGCGTCAAGGCACTCGCCAACGTCAAGTACTTCTCACCATAATCGTGCCTTCACGTGTGATCTGTGTATCACCCAGACACCCACCAACTCACTCACCCACCCACTCAACCACTCAACCACCCACTCACTCAACCACTCACCCACTCACATACTCACATACTCAACCACTCAACCACGTAAACACCCTCTCACATACTCACTCACCCAACCACTCACCCACTCAACCACCCAGTCAACCACTCAACCACCCACTCAACCACTCAACCACTCACTCACCTAACCACTCACTCACTCACCCACCTAACCAACCACTCACATACTCACCCACTCAACCACCCACTCAATCACCCACTCAACCACTCACTCACTCACCCACTCTCCTAATCACCCACCCACCCACTCACCTACTCACTCACCTAACCACCCACCCACTCAACCACCTCCTCCTTCACTGGTCGCTTCGCTCCCTCCTCCATCACCCCTCCATCACCTCCTCCGTCGGCGTCCTTCACCCAAACCCTCATTTTCCACCTTCCCCCGCCACCTCCGAAATCCCCTCCTCTCCACCCATCTTCCTCCTTCATCGCCCTCTATCGCCCCTTCACCTCCCTCACCTCGTCCACCCACCTGCCTCACTCCCTCGCTGCCTCCTTGACCTAAAATCGCCTTTCCCCAAATTCCCCCAAATCGCCCTGAAAATGTGCCTAAAATAATCTTTCAACAACATTATTAAATAACCTCTGCACAGGCCTCGAAAAATTTCTCGGCTTCAGTAATGGTAATTACACCGGCTCCGGCATCGTGTACTCCGACCTTGACAGGCTCTGCGACGGGGTGATGTCTTTCCTTCATGGAGTTTTAGATAACATTCATCCTAAATTAGGCTTACATAAAAACACTTTAGATACCGCACTTAACTCACTTAAAGACACAAATCTTAATGGTATTGCTAAATACAAGGCGGCGATAGCCGCGGTGGCCGATGGTGTACATGACTATAATGAGAGAGTGGCAGCGTCGAATGAGAGTGTTAGTGATGTTATTACTACATTGCGTGATAGTGTTGGACAGACTTTAACAGATAAGTTGAATGCCATAAATGAAAATAATGTTTCTCAGGACGCTGACCTTTCCAGTGCTGTGAAGTCGGCGGAGGCCTTGGTCAAGACGTATGCTTCTAAAGGTACGGATTTCAAAAATGATTTTCGTGATAAAATATATGACGATTCCAGAGACGCTTCGAGTGGTAGACGCGCCGAATACAGAAACGGCCTGCGTGTTAACAGGCCTGTGAAGTATGAAGACAAGGAGGATTTTAAGGACCTGAATGCTGAGTTAAGATTAAAAATAGAGACGGCGATCGATAATATTGTTCATGAAGGTAAGCGTCTCGGTGAACTGTCGGCCAAGGAAAAAACAGACTTGGGGGAAATGATTCAAACGATCAATGATTCTTTGGGTGGGCTAAAGAGATGTGTGACTAAGAAAATTAATGAGGATGTTATGGCTCTTGTTCGGCAGGTGAAGGAGAAGGTTACAGGAATTTTCAAATTGCTTAAGGAGATTGAAAGGAAGCTGCGGGATTATTTGGAAGCTCTACGAAAGTGGATTAACGAGACGGACATTGATGTGGATGAGGCAATGAAGGAGGTGAAAAAGATTGCGCATAAAGATGTCGGGTGGCCAAAGGATGATGTAATAAGGCAGAAAACAAAAGAATTGAAAGAGAAGGGTGAATATGTTTTCGAGCAATTTGAGAATGCGAAGAATCAAGTTGCTACTAATGTAAACGCCGCGCTCCAGGCCGTGAAAACGATGGACGCGCAGCTGAAGCAGGATTTGTTTGGGGTGAGGGGGGAGATAAAAGGGAAGGTGGATGCTATTACAAAGAGGATTGGGGAGCTTGGGGAGGTGTTTAGTGATCAAAAAGGCACTCCAAAAAACATTGATGAGGTGTTTGACAAGATTAGGAATAAGGTTATTCAAATTAATGGGCAGGCGGGAGATAATGATGCATTTGCCATGGGATTCGAGGGCATTAAAAAGGCTGTTAAGGAGTATGCGGAGGGGTTTAGGGACGCAAATTTTGAAAATACAGTGAAGGGGTGGATTCAGAAGATTTTGGAAACAGAGACTATTGTGAAAGAGAAAATTGATGGGTATTTAAAAGACAACACGAGTCAACTGAGCACCAATTATAATTCTTATGGAACTACAGGAATGAATATAAATATTGTTAGCAAAATGTCCGCTAAAATAAGGGATGAGCTCATTAGCGCTGTTATTTCACCAGCTAACCTTAAATTCCCTAAACTAGCAGTCAACGACATGAAATCCAATGTGGAATATATTCAAGGCGCCTGCAAGGCATTCGCCGAAGAGCTTGAGACGGCGATCAAAAAAGCTATTAAGCTTGCAGAGGAACAGCCCGGCAGGAACTTTACGCTGTCGATAACCATAAAAGACAAAATAAAGGCTGATGTTTTGAATCCGACAAGCTACGGCAATGAAAAGTCCCAATATAAGCTTCAAGAAGCCATCAAGCTTCTACTTCATCAACTCGTCGGTGCGGCCAGAGGGGCAGCTAAGGAGCTCCACTCTTTAGCACTCGAGACCAGACCACCCGGGTCCAGCCCAGGAAGCATTGCAGAGAAAATAAAAGAAGCACATACAAATGTTAAGTCACTTAACGGTCAGCTTGACACGGCGACTGGGAAAATCAGCGGCAGGGCGTCTGGTACCAACCCTAACCACGCCCAAGCCGTCGACAAAGCGATCGAAGCGGTGGGCGCCACGCTCGAGCAGCAGTTGCCGAACGGCAGTGATAATACTCATGTCAAGCTTAAGGACGCCACAAGTTTCAGCCGTTACAACACGCACGTCTCCCAAGACGAAGAGGCACTGAAAGCCCTTGCGTCCGGTAACCTAGAGAATATAAAAGGCGCCCTTCCAGAGGCGATCAAGGGGATCAGGACGCAGGTGGAGACGGACTTCCAAGCTGTGAATGCCGCTACTAAAAATAAGAAGGAATTCGCAACATTGTCCGAAGCCATTACCTCCAATCTGAAATCTCTCACTGATACCGTATCACAGGTCGGCCAAAAAATCAACGCCAAATTGACTGAGCTTAAGAGTAAGATCGGTAAAAAGGAACACGGTAAATCTGCTACGGATAACACACTTCAAAAAATACATGAAAATCTTGAAAAACTACTGAACAATGAATTGAATACAGCCATCCAAAACACCGACAATCTCCTTAAAAGTGAAGTTTCCAAATACCAACAACAATGCATCCAATCACTTGAATCCCACGTGGACTCCGAAGTAAAAGAAGCCATCGAGAAACTCACCACCCAGGCTAATAAAAAATTATGTAACATCTATCAAAGAGATGCTGAATGCATTCGCCGATAGGGTGCAAAAGGAATTGAAGCCTCTGCCTAAGGATATCGACACCGACCTGATTACGGGCTTTAAGGGTTTCATGAGGACTGTGCAAGGTGTCATTTCGGATAACGACACTTCGAGTGTACATATTAATTTGCTCAGCAGTCTTGCAAGTGAGTCCACTGACAAAGCTGAGGAGAAAGCAAAACTCTTCAAAA